GACACAATATCAGTAAGTCTCAGCATATGGTTAAAAGCCACTTCCCCCAGTCTGGTGCCACCTAGACATAAACTACACGAACATAATTGCTAGTACTGCTCAGGGAGCACAACTTTGTACCCTGTACTGAAGCGTTTGAATGTTTGTCTAAAGTTCTCCTGGTGATATTTCTTTCTCTTTAGCTGCTGGCTTAACCCAGATTTTATCTGGAGCTTCATGGGACCTGTCTGTGCGCTAATTGTGGTGAGCAAATATTGTCTCTGATTCTTTAACAGTAGAGAAATGAAAGAATTTTATAACATTTTTTTCTGAGATGAGAAAATGAGAACCTGATATCAATGTCGCTAAATTGGATACGTACATCAGTTTAAAATAATGCAGAAAAATCAGTTCTTTCTGCTACACAAAGGGAATTCATCAATTTCCATATTTTGCAAACAGCTGGAATTTTATAGTGTAGGAAGAACTGTTGGGGGAGAGAAATAAAGAATGAAGTAGAGAGGGGGGAAAAAACATTTTGAATCAAGATGCAGACATTTCATTTTTTGCTGTCATCTGTAACTAAAAGATCTACTCACTTAAATCCATCAACTACCAATGTATATGATCTAAAACTAACTTTCATTTTCTTTCCTTCAGCTTATCTAGTCTTAGAACATTATCTGTTTGTTGTTGTTGTTACAATATTTATCTGAGAAGACTTGTTTCCTCCCCCTCAAAGGTCAACCTAGTGTTTTTCTGTCTTATTCTGAAGAATTTGCATGAAAAACTGGCCTCTCTCAATTCAGAGATATCTTCAGTCAGAAATACCAGGTAAGATCTACCACACAGCATTAAATATAGGAGTTCAGTTCAGTATGATGCTGGTAATTTTAAAAAATCTTCTTCAAAATTTTTTTTAAAAATTCTAGATGATATATTTAACACGATATAGGAAGAGCATTGGCAAGTTGTGTTAACCTCTTGGTGTTGTTGCAGGTCACTGATATTTAAGGCCATAGCCCATGTGTTCATCCTGGGTGTGACTTGGTGTTTTGGCCTCTTTCAACATGGCATTTTGCAGGACGTTATGGCATACCTGTTCACCATCACCAACAGCGTGCAAGGAATCTTCATCTTCCTGGTACACTGCTTACTCAACCAAAAGGTGATGTATATAAAAAGAAAGTTCTGCTCTTTGAGCCAACAGGATGATCTGGGAATTTAGGTTGCAACAGGAACTCTTATAGTCCAAATTTTTAAGACTGGCTTCAGGATTTTGTGAGTTTCTGGCACAGAAATGATCTGTGTACTTCTCCACCAGTTTCTCTCTTATGCCAACAACAAAATAAGACAAACAAACAAACAAAAAATCAAGGTGGGGGGGCTTTAATAAGCAACAGCAATATCATTCACTGATTGATACAGGGAGGGATGGAGGATCTGTTTGCTTCCCTTTTGGATCTGAGGCCCATAGAGTAATTTCATTCATTTTCACCTGAAAAATTCATGGAAGATTTGCTGCTAAATATCAAGGGGCTTTAGAGGCTGCAAGATTGGTTTTGCAGGCTTTTCAATGATTTAATGCAACATGTAAACTACACACACACACACACACACACACACACTCCTACAGGTAGTCCCCGACTTACAACCATTTATTCAGCGACTGTTCCAAGTTACAATGGTGCTGAACAAAGGGACTTATGACTTGTACCCAAAATTATGGTTGTTGCAGTGTTCCTGCAGTCTCGTGATCAAAATTTGGGTGCCTGGCAGCCCACCCACAATTACAACCATAGAGGTGCTTCAACTCTCCCCCACCCACCTATCTCATCCCCCATCTATGCCCTTTTATTTATTATTTATTTATTTATTAAATTTATATGCTACCCATCTCCCCCAGAGGGTGACTTTGGGTGGCTCACAGTTAAAATCAAACATTAAAAACAGTAATATAAATATCTATATTAAATTAGCTAAAAAAATAATACTAAATAAAAAGACTATATGCAATTCAAGACGATGGGGGGGGGGCAGAATCGATTATCCCACCAGCCAATTCCAACAATGCGAGCCTCCATCAGGCCCCCAGGCCATCTGGCATAACCAAGATTTCACACTCTTCCGGAAGGCCATGAGAGTCAGGATGGACCACACTTCAGGTGGTAAGTTATTCCACAGGATGGGGGCCACAGCAGAAAAGGCCCTCTTCCTAGATCCTGCCAGCCAAAATTCCTTGACTGGTGGGGTCTGCAACATGCCCCTTCTGCCCTGAGTGGGGCAGACTGATATAACCAGGGTAAGACGGCTCCTCAGATAACCTGGTCCTGTGCTATGAAGGGCTTTAAAGGTAATAATCAACACTTTGAATTGGACCCAGAAGCAAACCGGCAACCAATGCAGCTCATGTAACAGAGGTGTTATATGTGGCCCCCTGGGGGCATTCAGAACTCCACACCACTGCATTTTGTGCCAACTATAGCTTCTGGATACTCTTCAAGAGTAGCCCCATGTAGAGCATATTGTAGTAATCCAACTGGGAGGTGACCAGGGCATGAATGACCACACAGAGGGCCTCCCGATCCAGGAAGAGGCATAATTGATGCATAACATAAAGTTGTGCAAAGGCCCTCCTAGCCATGACTGCCACCTGCTCTTCAAACAGGAGTGGTGAGTCTAAGATTATGCACCGGGTCTGTCTGGGGTAGTGCAACCCCATCCAGAACCAAGGATGATAAGCTCCTAGACCTTGAGGCTCCCCATACCCACAGCCACTCTGTCTTACCAGGGTTCAGTTGAAGCCTGTTGTCCCCCATCCAGGCCCCTACAGCCTCCAGGCACAGCAAAAGGGTAGCCACAGAATCACTTAAGTCACCTAGGATGGAGATATATAGTTGAGTATCATCAGCATACTGATGATACCTCATCCCATGGTGCTGGATGAGCTACCCCATGGTTTCATGTAGATGTTAAATAGGAGCAGCAAGAGCACCAAACCCTGAACACCCGACAAAGTAGAGGCCGCGGGTTGGACCTCTCACTCCCTATTAACACCGATTGGGAAGGAGCTGAACCAGCATAGAACTGTACCTCCCAGGCCCAACTCCTACAGCTGACCCAAAAGGATACCACGATCAATAGTACTGAAAGCTGCCGAGAGGTCAGGAAGAGCAAGGATGGGCACACTACCCCATCCCGCTTTTGCCAGAGATCATCTAAAAGTGCGACCAATTATGTTTCTGTCCCATAACCGGGCCTGAAACCTGACTGATAGGGGTCCAGATAATCCATTTCCTCCAGGATCCTTTGAAACTGTCACACGACCACCTTTTCCACCCGCTTTCCTTAAAAGGGAAGTTGGGAAACTGGATGAAAATTGTCCAGAACGGTGGGATCTAGGAACAGTTTCTTGAGGAGCGGGTGGACCAAGGCCTCCTTAAAAGGCTTCGGGAACCCCCCTCCTGCATGGATGAATTGACCACTGCCTGGACCCACCCCAATGTCACCTCCCTGGTGGCTTTAACCAACCAGGAGGGACAAGGATCTAAAGTACAGGTAGCCACACTAACAGCCCCGAGGACCCTGTCCACTTGCTCAGGTCCAACAGGATCAAACCATTCCCAGATAACCAGGTAAGTCTGCTCCCCAGGCATCTCCACTGGACTGCATCATGCTTGGCCTCCAACTTGGAACAGATCCAAACAATTTTATCCATCAGGTGTTCAGCAAATTCCTCTGCATTGCCCTGTGGGTCCTTCAAGCCCTCCTTACCCAGGAGGGACTGGGTAACCCTGAACAGGGCTGCCAGGTGACATTATGCAGATGCAATAAGAGCAGAGAAATAATGGCATTTTGCCGTCCTTACCGCCACAAGGTAGGCCTTAATAGCGGGTCTAACCTGTGTTCAGTCAACCAGGAAAACTTTGTTTTCCACCAGTGGCGTTCTAGACATCTCCTGGCCCTTTTCAGCACCCTTAACTCCTCTGTAAACTACGGGGAGTGCCAGGGGCAATGGACCAAGAGAAGATGCATAGGCACGATCCTATCTAAGGCCCCAGTCACCTCCTTATTCCAGGCTGCAGCCAGGGCCTCCACTGGACCACGCAGCAAGGCCTCAAGAACAATCCCTAGCTCCCTTTGGAACCCATGCAGGTCCATCAGTCTCCAGGGGTGGACCATTCAAATAGGTCCTGCCTCCCTGCAGTGGGGGGCAGCATAAGAGAATCTCAAGGCCACCAGGGAGTGGTCTGATCATGACAAAGGGGACAATGCCAAATCCCCCACCAGATTACATTGCCACTGCTCTGGCAAGAAAACCATGTCCAGAGTGTGACGACTGTCCTGAGTCAGGCCATGGATGACTGGGGATAGGCCCACAGCCGCCATGGTGGCCATGAACTCCTGAGCCACTTCCAAAGCCAACCCCAGGGACAGCAGGTTAAAGTCCCCCAGGACCATGAGCCTCGGGAACTCCAGTGCCAATCCTGAGATGGCCTCCAGCAGCTCAGGCAGGGAGGTTGCTATACAGCAGGGAGGCTGGTACAGAAGCAACACTCCCAACTGATCTTGTGTGCCCAACCTCAGGAACAGGGTCTCACATCCAGCAACTTGTGGAGCAGAGCCCCTGAAAGCCAATAGAGATTCCCAGATGACAACTACCACACCCCCTACCCTGGGGACTTGGCTGGTGCCAAACCTTAAATCTGGCTGGACACATTTCCGAAAGGGAGATACCCCCTTCTGGTGTCAGCCAGGTCTTGGTAATGGATGCCAGGTCAGCTTGCTCCTCCCCAGCAAGGTCATGAATAAGGGGGGGCCTTATTGTTAACCGACCTGGCATTGATCAGCAGCAGCCAAAAGCCCAGGCCTCTGTAGGTCTGCTGACCAGGGTTTGGGCTTGAGTGCAGAGGGCCAGAACACACCACTGGTATAACACATCGGGGGCGCCTTCCCCTGAAACAGCCTGCCCTCTGGCTCCCATCATAACATCCCATGCCTGTCACCGCTTGAATACCCTTACCCGACCTGAATCGCCCAAGGTGATCTTCCACCCACCCTCCTGGCCTCCAGCCTAAGGGGCCTGCCATCTCATAAGCCATTCAGCACAAGGGGGAATGGGGGGGTATGGGCCCCTGTGGCACTTCAGCTACCTGGTCTCAGTGCCAACAGGGGCTTATTCACCCCAAATCCCCCTTTCCTTACCACACTCCCTCTCTCAGCCGGTCTCTCTCTCTAGCTGGTGAGAGGAGGGCCACATCCACTCCTTTTGCCCACTGGCTGCCCTGCAGTCGCGGACCCAGCTGACTTTCAGCATATTCTCGTTCCTGCTGCTGACAAGGTGTGTTCGGCCTGGCTGCTGGGCTGGGCTGGGGCAGGGCTTCACACTGCGAAGGAAAAAAAAAAGCCAAAAACAGCTCCTTTGTAAAGAGCTCCTGGGCAGGGTGGGGCTTCACTGTCCCCCCCCCAAAAAAACAGCCAAAAGAGCCAAAGGCAAAGGGGCTTTTTGGCACGCCACAGCTCAGGGGCTGCTTTTGGCTTTTTTTGGTTCTTTTCTGCAGCATGAAGCCCAGTCCCAGCCTGGCCCAGCAGCCAGGCCAGGCACACCTTAACAGCAGCGGGAGCAAGAAGACGCTGAAGGTCAGCTGGGTGGCAGAGCGCAGGGTGGCAGGAGTCTCGGAGTGCAGAGTCGCGAGGGCGACTGTGGCTGGGACTGGCCTGTGGTGGCTGCGATAGCCCAGGGTGTGGCAAGTAGCCCCAGAGCCATGCGGTTCTGGGGCTGCTTGCTGCCCCACAGGGCAAGGTGGAGGACGGCTAAAAGGGCAGAGATGTAGGGGAGATAGGCCTGTGGGGGGAATTGGAGGCAGTCCCTTATTTTACTCAGGATTGAGGCTGGGAGGGACCATGCCTGGAACAGCTTGGATTGGGGTGGGTACTTGCTTAACAACCCTCAATTCTCAGTTAACAACAGCAACGGGGAGTGCCAGAATTGCAGTTGCTAAGCGATGCGGTCATGTGACACCTCACTTTAGCTTAGTGATGGAAATTCTGGTCCCAGTTGTGGTTGTAAGTTGACATGCTATTTAGCTGATCATTACAAGTAGTACAAATATTCTCTAGTGTCTATGGAATCTGGTAGAGATTGCAGATAAACTAGGAAAGGAAGCTTACTAAACAAAATAAAGTTGGTTTTAACATGAACATTTCCCCTCTTTAGTTTAGCATCTTCCCCACTGACTACCCACCATTATACAATCAGAAATTACTGGAGTTTCAGTAGCAAAAATTGTGATGATCTTTACATTTATTTTAGAACATTTTTCAGGCTTGGAAAGGAGCAAAGGAAATAGAAAATGTATAATATGTCTCCCTGCACCCATACACAGCAGCTTAATCCCAACCAGAGCTCTGTGGATTAATTTTATTAATTTGGTTACTAGTTTGTACATATAATGAGTAGGAGGTGAAGGGCTAAAGACTGAGCCAAAAAGTGATAGAATAAGATAGACTGAAAATAGGTTTTTATAAAAAGGCAGTAAGGAAAATAAATTTGAAGATGATCTGTATACTTACTGATACACTCAATAATGAATAAGAACATCTGCTAAATGTTAACCCACTTTTCA